TCTCAATGTACGTCTATATAATTGCACACATCTCACATCACACCTTGTCTTTACGCCCGTTGAAAAACGATGTCGTTCGAAAGATAGCGAAATAAACATGTTCTATAGAAGAAGCTGAGTTTATAATCTTACAGTATAGTTATGGTAATGTTGATGTCTACAAAAATGAAATGATTTTGCGCATGCGCATAGTTGATTGGCTGTCTCTGTGAGCGCCAGTTGACACTGTTGTTGCTTCTTATCCCCTTGTGTAAAGATTACACGAATTCCATGAGTTAATGCTCCTCAAGCTGTTTTATGATGAGCAGCGGCCTCTCCCAAAGGTCCTGTTTAGTGCATCTAATGCAAGCCAAAATGTGTTCTGGAGCTGCAGGTACCAAACTACATTTTGGGCAAGTGGGATAAATTTCACCAAAGTGTGCCTGGATCATGGTGCCATGATCAACGAAAGCTGCACCCCTACACCCCATTCCATGAGATCAGTTGACACTGTAAATCAACCAATCAGCGTACATCGACCCTATCTATATCTACCATCAAAAATAGATCAATATGACGTCGTATATTCTAGTGATCTACAGCTGTGGTGACGTCAGCAACCCACGCCATGTAGACCACATGCACACCTGTTTACCAAGAACCATCCATTAGTGGGAGATGTACATACAGACAAAAGCTTCTTTCATCTCATATCAATGGTTTTATCGAATATGTAAATATCATGGTCAAATATTAATATTTCTTTTATCTCTCTGTGATAAGAAATACTTATTTTTATAATTATATAATTTATAGTTTTTTTTTAACTCTTTTAATTACACAATTTTAATTTATATTTAGACATTATCCATTTCAATTTAGACATTTTTCATTTTAATTTAGACATTTTTCATTTTAATTTAGACATTTTCAATTTAGACACCTGGACGTTTCTATAAGAAGTCCAGGTGTCTAAATTAAAATTGTCTAATTAAAAGTTAAAAACCTATATATCATAATTATGTTTTTACCAAATAAAATATTAGAATACTATGTTATATTAATTAAAGAAACAGTTTTTTTTACATTCTTGGAATTTAAGAATTTATATTATCAAAAGATTAGTTTCTTCGTCTCACTATTTTGTTCTTCTGTTGATAATTATATCTACTACAGATCATTGTTCAACTTATGATTAAGTATTTATTTCATATTATAATGCATTAACACGCCATCGGTTTTGAATATTCGAAACTATTAAACCACTATGCTGACTTTCCAGAATGGTTGCAGGGTTTTCCCACTAAGTACTAAGTGTAATTCTCAGCCTGCAACCCCAAGACACATTATTGACTGTATTGACTCATCCATTGATGAGCTCTACTCTTCCCCGGCAGACACCATCAACAAGCTTTACAAGCTTGATACCTTAGTGTGATTAAGTGGAGATAAGAAAGAAGAAGAAGATTATGCACAAATTTTTCCATTACAGTAAGGACAGTAGAAATTGTTTAATTTTCAAAAGAATCATACGCGTCTATAATAGTTTCTAATATTTTTTTCATAATCAGAGTAAGATTTCTTAAACCAGCTATACTTCCGTAAATTAATTCTAAAAATCGGTGGAAGGGTGGTCTAAACCGTTGGTTTTCGACCGCTACCACCCGGGTCAAATCCTTCATTGGACACTATTTTTCTAAAAAAAAAAATGCTCCAATAGCCCTCGATTCTTGTAAAAATCCAACCCCACCAGCGAATGCAAGTAGCCAAAAAGGGCTTTGTCATATTTGTAAGATGCAAAAGTCGAACTGTTTTTCACATGTGTAGACATGTAGTGTTCTTACAGTAAAAGCAGTCGCCAACTTCTATCCACCATAATTATCACCATGTAATCAATTTGCATACTGATATGTAAATATGTATATATCCCTTTAAACTACTTTTTCTTTTTTCATTCAAATGTATATATTTCACACGCAAATATCCGATTTGTGGATATAGCGTGTATTCTGCAATTGTTAAATAAAATGATTATCATGGTCTGTACAACATGTACTAGGGATAATAATAATTTTAAAAAAATTCTAAAAATGAAACGAAAAATTGTAATATATATTTCTTTTAAATAAAATGTGGAAAGCTTTTGAATGTCAAATTTTCCTCGGGGGGAAAAATGATTGTGGAATATTTCTATTGAGATATAGTGAAGATATAAAGAGATGTTTGAAATTTCAATCCCATATAGAAGAGTTTTTTTTCAAATTCAAGAGAGTAGGCAAATAATAATCAATGTAAGTAGGGGCGGTATTTGAAATATAAAGTTGAATTTTTTAAAAATCAATTTTGAATTTTTTCATCCATTCCCTTTCTATTTTATTAATAAATGACATTTTTATGTTAATTTTTCTTTATCGCGATTTGTTAATATTACTTTTTAAAAACTTATTTCACTTGAATGAGAAATATACCAGTTAATTACTTTTTTTTGTTTATCCGTAGTACACGTGGTATAGGCCATGATAATCATGGTGGGTAGAAGTAAGCGACTACTTTTTTTTACTGTAAGTGCACCACATGCACTGAAATAAACTCTGAGAGAAAACTGACAAAAACTATAACAAGACTTAGAACAAAACACTATAAAGGAATGACAATACATCCAGATGACACAAGAACCTACAGGACAACTGTCCTGGTGTGGAACTAACACCTACCCACATATTCTCATGCCCAGCAATGGCCGCAGCCTTGCAGAAAATTGACATAGACCCAGCAGCTTTACACACCCAAGAGAGTGGACATTGCTGTGATGGAGATGTATGGAGACATCTGAGACTCTTCTTTGGACACGACAACAACAACAACCACATGTCTACACATGTGAAAAGCAGTTCGACTTTGCATTTACAAATGTGCCAGAGCCCTGTTTGGTTAATTGTACTCGTTGGTGGGGTTGGGCTTTTACAAGAATCGGAGGCTATTGGAGCATTTTTTAATGAGGAAAAAAAGTACCCAATGCGGGATTCAATACCGGGTCGTAGCGGTCGAAAACCAACAGTTTAGACCATCCTTTCACCTACCCCCTTATTAAATATTGAATGTGCTAAAAGTTATATCAATTAGTATTTTACTTGATTTGCGTATCTATCTGGGAACAGATGGTCAGTCACATTTAAAATACCGATTTTGCATCACTGTAGAATATGAATCTTATGGGGATGGAATTTCTTTTTTATATCTTAAAAAACAGCCTTTTCTTTAAATATAAATAAATAGGAATAATAAAATGTCTAAAAGTTTTTAAATAATAAATTTAAAATTTAGATAAATATAACGTAAATAATAAGTATACCTTTTATAGATTTCAAAAAGATTTTATACTTTATTTTTTTATGAAGTATGAAAGGATGAATTATGAAGAGTAATGATAAACGGAAAAATAAAATATTATTTATAAGCCTAATGGCCAGGTTCTTCCTGTAACTCAACGATCAAAATGATTGAGAAAGGTTTGTGAAAGTTGAGATGTAAATTTGTTTGCTATGCAAATTTGATAACTTCTCGGGTAACCGTGGAGATTTCAAGGGACACCAATAAAAGATCATTATAAAAAATCAGAAAACTGAATCTTATTTATATGAATTGTGTTTGTATTTCAGACAATAATTAGAAATATAAAACAATAATTAGCTGGAAAAAAATCCAATAGTTCGGGAAATGATCAATAGATGGCGTTACCTCATAAAATTATTTTATATCAAATTACCGGTCTTTTAAAACTTTTAAAAAGTTTTATAAATTTGATTTTATTTTTTAAAAATGGTTCTTTAATTTGATTTTTACCTTACCAGGAATTCGTATGGAATTTAATTTTAAAAACGGATATCCCGATATTTGCATGTTTATTAAATTATATGCACATAATTATATTTTTCGACAAATTATAAAGGATTATAAATTTTCTAGAAGATATGCATTATCAAATAACATATTGGTCTAATGAAAGCTCCTGATTATGCAACTAAAAGTTACATATAGCCATCAGAAAATCTATATACTGATATTTTATTTTCTATAAATTTGACCAATACTTGTTCTTGAATTATAGACCAACTACGCTGAGATAGATGGCAGTGTGTAATCAGTAACATTGAGTTGCATAATCACCCTGTGTGTTTTCTTCTATTCTACTTTAAACTCTATATATGTAAATATGTATATTAGGCTGGGAGGATTTATTTATTTTAGAAAGGTCGTCTCTCTCCTGTTAAATATAGACGCTAAAACTAAGTGTCCTCTATTTACCGTCGTTGCAAAGTAGTGGTCTCAGGTCGGTGACAAAGCCACAACACCAGCTTTGGCAAATTGAGAAGCGTTCATCTGGAGACCATGGTTTAGGCTTAATGATCTTCGTCAGTCCAGAGCTGGCTTTTTTTCATGACTTCCGCGGTGAATAGATGACACATAGAGTTTATTTGGACGGGAGAGGTAACTTTTGTTTTTATAAACCATTATACTCTCATTAAAATTTCCATCTATATTTTGGTCAAAGATTTGGCCGAGCCACTTTGTACTCTTTGTAAAATTCCGAGAATTTCATTAATCCCGTGTGAATCTCATGAAACCAAAACCAAACCTGAACTGACGAGGGTCATTAGCCCGAAACCATAATCTCCGGGTGGGCTTTTCTCAGTTTGCCAAAGCTAGTGTTGTCGCTTTGTCACCGACCTAAGTCCGCTAGTTTGGGGCGACGGTTAATAGATTACACTTAGTTTTAGCGTCTTTTTTGACGTGATAATCGACCTTTCATTAAACTCTTTGTTATAGTGACTGCTTTTACTGTAAGGGTACCACATGTATATATACACATACAGAAAGGAGTTCGACTTTTACACTTACAAATATACCGCGAAAGTTTCTTTCGAATTTTCGTTTAAGAGAAATAGCGATTATTTCTAACTTTAAGGATGAAGTATGATAGGATGAATTGTGAAGAGTAATGATAAACGGAAAAATAAAGTATCCAGGGATGGGAATCGAACCCACAGTGTTCTGCTTACCGGGCAGATGCCATGTCCACTAGGCTACCCTGGACATATTTCTCCGTTCGTAAATATTATATATATATATGAAGTAATTTAATATAAATTATATGCACATAATTATATTTTCCTCCAAAATATAAAGGATTATAATTTTTCTAGAAGATATGCATTTATCAAATAACAAATTGGTCTAATGAAAGCTTCGCGGTATAATTGCAATTTTCGTTTTACAATCATAAGCCGCGTTATATTGTATATTAACTTACAAATATGCCAAATCCCAGTTTGTTTACTTGCACTCACTGGTGGGGATTGGACTATTGCAAGAATAAGGAGCCATTGAAGCATTTTTTTTATTAGGAAAAATTGTCCAATGCGGGATTCGATCCCAAGTCATGGTTGTTGGAAATAAACGATTTCTACAACTCGTCCATCGACCCCCATTCTGTATCATTATTAGTAGTATATAAAAACAAATCCGTTAAGCCGGAATTTTCTTTTTTTTTTTTAATAAAACCAACTTCCCCTACAGTCCTTACTGCGATAGAAATATATTATAGGTGGGCTTGGCTCATCAATGATAAACCCTTCTTAGCAGTTTTGCCAGTTTAATCCACCATACCGCTCGCTTTTTAGAGCTCTACTACTGTATTGGACGATTCTGCTTATATATTGAAACGATGCAGCAGAGAAGTAGCAGGGAAGAAGTTGGAACGCCAAGAGAAGAAGGGCCCCTTCTCGGAAGTGTCGATTGACAAAATGCCAGAGGGAGGGGGTGGCAGACAGTCGGGGCAGTCCAGCTGGCGTCGCCGTGGGGAAGGGATCAGCCGAGCCCAGCTGGTGTCGCAGTGGAAGGAAGCCGGCCGGCTGCCGGGGATTGGTGTGTGCCGAGAAGACTGTCTGGCAGAGATAGCAGTCTGGGGGAAGAAGTCTGTCTGCTGACAACGGGACCTGCAGCAAGGAGAACGGCGGTGGTGACAACAGACGCAGCAGGTGGGCACCGAACGTAGTGGCGGGCATTGAAGGCAAGTCAATCTTCTACTGTATAGTTACTTATCAACTCTTTAGAACTCTTACAATAAATATACCGCACTAAGCTGTATCCTAAAGAATCCACATTGTTCTCTTAGAACCTTGAACGCAAACATCGACGGCTGAGAAGCGTCGTAACAATATGTTACACTATTAAAAAATAAATGAAGCTTCCAGGGTTAAATTTCTTGTGCAACTTTTTATTTTCAAGCTTTCGGACCTGTTATGTTACACTGTAGGGCAGAATCTAGGCTATATTATATAAACAGATTATTAGATATATCGAATATCCATCAGGGAATAGGTTTCTTTATCAGAGTTTTAATTAACTCAAGTATTCTGGATTATCATTCCTTCGAAGAGGGAGTAACACAGTAGTGGAGAGAGCTGATTGACCGAAAACTGGAGTTAATACAAACTGATAAAGATAGAAACTTATCCCCGGATGTATATTTTATTTAATTGAAGACAGGGAATTAATATCTAATGAGCGAGCTCTATGGACATAAGTTTCTAGGACAATAGAATTACACATGATTTTTATCGCAGTAAATACAATAGAAAATTTGCTTTATTTGGTAAAGACAAATTCATTTATCATAGTTTTATTATATATATCTAAAGAGACAAAGGTTGCCTCTCCCGTCAAAATATACGTCAAAACTAGACGCCATCTATTTGACGTCTATTTTGACGGGAGAGACGACCTTTGTCTCTTTAGATCAATATCCTCCCGGCAAAATTTCCACCTATATATATGTATATATAAAATATAACAGTGATTCCACATTTAAAACTCAAGGAGCAAACTGATAAGAATGATAAATCATATCAAGTAGATTTGGTTAGATTAGCAAGCTAAATCTAAATTAATTATAACAATAAATAGTTGTATAGTTTTATAAAATATATAAAGTTATAGTTAAGTATTAAAATTATCTTCATTATTTTGATTATTTAAATTCAAATTATAAAATTTGTAAATTGTTATTATTTAGTATAGAGAGAGAGAGAAAAAAAAAAGTCCTTTACTTCTAAAACATCATCTAGTTAATTATATATTTATAATTAATAACAATAAAATTTAACAACGTAACGTATATATAATATATAACGTATATATACAACGTATATATATATATATACGCGTTATTGATTTATGTTTAATTAATATTTGTACACTCATGGACAAAACTTAAGGGAGTGGAAAGTCTTTGAAGTCGCCGGTCGTCTATTATTCGAGTTTTTTTTTTTTTCTTGAAGGAGACAGAGGCAGTTTTGTTTATACTTGGTTATCTCGTGTGTCTTCAATAAAGGTTACTGTAATATCTTTCAGAGTTATTGTCTGAATTCCGATATATACATGCTAAAAGGTACAAGTTCCTTAAATTGTGTCCATGAGTGTATATATATATAACTAGCCGAATGACCCGGGCAACGCCCGGGTTTTGCCCTATTAAATGTACCCTGTTTCACCCGTGGTCTCTGTTTTTTGGAATTTTTCCCGATATAATTTTGTATCTGATAATCAAACATGATACAGCAAAATTTTTAAAAAGCAAAATTTTTAAAATAGCCTATCGTCTTCCCAGTATTCTTTTACCTATGTATGGAAATTTTGGTTTGAATTAGTGAACTACTGAGAATTTGTAGACGAATGACCCGCGGGCAACGCCCGGATTTACACGATTAAATGTATATTACATATGGAAGATGGACGTAGTTCCCGGAGGGCACCCGCGAGGCCACTCTGCCCCCGCGCAACTGTCCAACTGGGAGCGCCCCGCGCCGTCAAAATCGTCACGCGTTCTAGAGGGCGCTGCTCCGGCCGTCAGCCGGGAGATCTCATTTACTCGGCGGGGGGGGGGGGGGGGGGCAGGGGGAAGGGAAGTCACGTGCTGCGCTGGCAGCCAATCGTCGCGCGCCGCCATCGCCCGCCTGAGTGTTCTAGAGGGCGCTGCTCGTGAGCTAATTTTAATAATTTGAATATATAGTTTTAATAAATGATTTATATATATTTTAAAATAGCCTATCGTCATCCTCGTTATTTTTTACCTATGTATGGAAATTTTGGTTTGAATTAGTGATCTACTGCGAATTTGTATAGGAGTCATACAAACAAAGACACAGACAAACAAACATACAAACATACAAACATTCATTTTTATATATATAGATTACCTATGTATGGAAATTTTGGTTTGAATTAGTGATCTACTGCGAATTTGTATAGGAGTCATACAAACAAAGACACAGACAAACAAACATACAAACATACAAACATTCATTTTTATATATATAGATTACCTATGTATGGAAATTTTGGTTTGAATTAGTGATCTACTGCGAATTTGTATAGGAGTCATACAAACAAAGACACAGACAAACAAACATACAAACATACAAACATTCATTTTTATATATATAGATGTCCATATCGGAACCCAGGTAAACAATAGGAAGAAGTTATATAAAATAAAGAATTCCTGGGTTTTATGTCTTAAAAATGAAGGTCAACTTTAGAAAAGATTTTATAGGATTATAAAATGAAAGCTAAAAAGTTTCGTAAAAGATTGGAGTTCAAATAATGCTGACACCTAAATTGTTTAGAATTGGTTTGACGTTAAAAACTTTTTTTTTTTGAAAGGTTTGCACTTTCTATTGATGTTTGGGATACCTCTTTATTCTCGGAAAACCATTGTGTGAAATATCCCATTCCTTATGTTTAAAGAAAGATTGAAAATATTTTTATAAAATATAAAGTTGCGGGATATTCTTGTACCATAAAAGGCACCTCCCCCTTTAATTGTGCCTCAGAACGTTACGCTTGTTCATTATCCTAGTCCCCATCAGCGAGTGCAAGTAACCAAACGGGGCTCTGACACATTTGTAAGTGTAAAGTCGAACTGCTTTTCACATGTGTAGACATGTGGTACACTTACAATAAAAGCAGTCGCTAACTACCTACCATGATTATCATGGCTTCTAATTCTTCGTCAAGAGACCGGCTATAATAGCAATTCGCCTTATGTTTTAATGGCAAAAGCCGTAAAATCCAGACCCTTTGCATTCGCTTTTTATAAATACTGGAAATCAGCTCAATCAAAATATTTAGCACAGACACCGGATCCAACTCGATAATTGGTCGAGGTCAATACCCAATATTTGTATATAACTATGATGCTAATTTGTTATTTATTTATTTTGTCCTACCGGGAGAATCCTGTATGGCACGTGTGCCTAATAAAGGCTTTTGTTGTTGTTGATTATCATGGCTTGTACCACGTGTACTAAAGATAATTTTTAAAATCATCCTAGTGAAAAAAAAAAATAATTGTGATGATAAAGAATAAGACACAAGACCAGTTTGGAAAATTCAGACAAAGAGCCAACAACATATATACCATGGTTTCAGACTATGGCCCTCATCAGTACAGGGACGGCTTTGATTTCATAACATCCTAAGAGAGAAGTTATGGAATTGGTCGAATTTACTAAACAGCTGTTTAAGCTGGTTAAGTTGATCATTCTTCATCACACCTAATATAAAAAGAAACTCCGCCTTTGTGCCGCTCCCAAGCCCGGATGAAAAAGCCCTGGATGTGAAGAGCCAGATTTTTTTTGCCTTGTAAGACATTGGAATAATAAAGCTTCATTTAAGACTTAAGATTTTTTCATTGTTGTTATAACCATATTTTAAAAAATATTTGGAACTTGAAAACTTGGGACTCTTTAGATGTTAATGTACAATTTGGATTATAGAGTAGAAGCATGAAGGTAATAAAACCAAATCCAAATAAATTAATGGTGTGGGTGACTTTTCGGTAACAGCGTTGTTACCATCATCAGATACATTTGACAAGGTAATAAGACCAAATCCAAATAAATAAATAGTGTGTGACGTTTCGGTAACAGCGTTGTTACCATCATCAGATACATTTGAATTCAGTACTTGTCAGGGATCAGCTACTGGGCTCAGCTGGCCCGGCTGATAGTACCCTGTAAGGGCTCCTAATC